GTCGTGCGTGGACGCACGACGCGAGCTCCTTCCAGGCAGTCGAACTTTGGCCGCCGTGGTCACGGCGCAGCGGGCGTGCAAACTTGCGCGCCGCCGCTCATTTTCAGATGAAATTTTCTGCGTGATTTTTGTTTCTTCCACCCTCCAAGTTGTTGCATTTTGTCCATGTCGGTGTCGTGCCACGTGACGAAAGATCCAGTTGGAAATGTCAGAGCGGTGTGCCCCATGAGAATGGATATGGCAAGAGGTATTTTTACAGGACTTGTTAAAAAATCTTTCTAGTGGTCGTTATTTTAAATAAATATCCAGCAACTTCTCAATCCAACCGTTGATGAGGAGGGCGGGAGGGCAGGACGGGACCAGTTCTGACGTAACTGTGGCTCCGAATCCAACTCGAGTCACTTAGTTCTAAGTGCAGTATGCTGACCACCGCACCACCACTCCAATATTGATTGTCACGTGAAAAATAGACTGATATTTTTTAAAAAGCTCAGAGCTGCAATGCAATCTTGATTTGAAGCTTTCGTGACTGCAGGAATCCATACTCTTTGGTTCTTTTAGTAAAGCCACGTAGGTATAAAAATAAAATAATATAAAAAATAATATATCACGAAGTTTCGATCGCAACACAAACAGTTGTCCTCAGGCAGAAAAAAATTATCCAGCAGTAGAACTGCTGAACCAGCGAGAGAGCTGTTACAACAAGAGGTTAAATATGTAGGCGAAGGGCAAGCTGATTCAGTAGTCCACTGCTGGATTATTTTCTCCGCCTGAGGGCGACCGCTTGTGTTGCGATCGAAACGTCGTGATCTTTTATGATTTATTTTATTTTTCTACCTACGTGACTTTACCGAAAGAACCAAAGAGTATAGCTGTAACGTAGCCAAATCAAGTGCAGAATTAAGTTTAATTAATATTTTTTTAGCCTGGTGGACATTCATTGATGATGGATCAGAGACCACCAACCTCGCTGCACCTGAAAACCCAGTCTAATGACGGGGCCGCTGGAACCCGGAATTAGAATTTGCGCTTTCAAAACGATACCGGCTCAGCCCTCTGACCTCCCTGAGCCACTCGACATCTCCTCCGTATAATGAATGTGAACGCTGCTCGTGATTTACATTTGTAATCCCAGCACAACGTAGAATATATATTTTTCCGTGTTTTATTGGCCGCTGAAATGTAGGCATCTTTAGGGGGCTCCCCCATGCACGCCCTGACGAATGTTTCTTATTATTCAGTTGTTTTCAGTGAAAGCATTGGCGATGTCTCCCTGTGGGGCAAATCGCCGAGGAGAGATTTTTTGTGTGTTTTTGGCTATTTTGTCACCATTTAAATCAGGCCCCCTGGTGTTGTAGTTCCTTGCGGTGGAGTTCTCTGATTAGTACACAGCATGCGACAACGGTGTAAGGCAAATGCAATGCCATACATTTCTGGGTACATTTTGAATAAAGGGAGGCGGGGGGGGGGGGTGCCGAGGGTGGATAGAGTGGCGGTGCCATGGTTCGAGTGCTGGTTTCTACCACGCCGCGCCGTGAACCTGATGGACTGAGCTCAGTTGCCGGCGACGGTCGACATCGGTGGCGAGTGTTGTCTTCACTCGTGAGCCAGAACTGTGACCAACGTCGTGAACTATAACCAAGCAACCCCCCCCCCCCACCTCTCCATGACCAAACATGGCATGGAGAGACCTTCATCCAGCAGTGGGATCGACAAACATTGTTATCTATCAAAATTGACTTGTAGGTTAATATGCGTGCGTAGCCAGGCTGTAGCGTGCCAGGGGCACGGGTGAATCGCGCGCTATCAATTAACCACGCGGAATTCCCTGAAACAAGACGGAAACAAAGCAGGCCCTTCCGGCAAGCATCACGGCCCCGATGGGCTTGCCCCTGTTTTGATAAATGAGCATGCGGGTTAGGGGCTATAAACAAAGGCTCGCGGTACGCGAACGTGAAATACTCCACCAAATTAAATCATTTCCATGTCCCCAGTTGCTTCGGCTGTGCCTCCTTATGCACTATTCGCCGAGCTTTTATCCATTCCGTTCATCTCTTTTTCCCTGAGGTGTTTGTTTTGATTGTTCTAATGATGCATTATGAAAAGCAAGAGAGTATATCATACAAATTGGCGGTTTGCTTTTGGGAAACTGGACTTGGTGTAATGCAAATGGACACAATCGCCAGAGCTGCTGTTAAACACCTGATGGTGCTGGATGTAATCTACAGCGAAACTTAGAACGTAAACTTGTCAATAATTTGTATCTAGATCTGAAGTTTTCGTGACTGCAATGATCCATACTCTTTGGTTCTTTCGATGAAGATAACACTCATGACTTTACCGAAAGAACCAAAGAGTATTGTCAGAATTTTGCTTTTCAACAATAGTCAAATCAATTTGGAATGCTGTATTTTGCCCGTGATGTGACAACTTGATTTGATTTTCCCTGTTGGGCGAAGGAGGGCACAGCTGAAAATTGCCATGATACCGACGCGATCAAACCCAAAAGTTGACTAATAACGACTCAACATTGTACTGTGGCCTCAACAAGAAAGCTTTCAATCATTGCGTACTACCTGCTGCACCACACTTGTTCAGAAAGGGTCATTAATGAAGAGGACGGAGAGACGCGTGCCTGGAATTACAATGAGAAGACGGAAAGAGGAAGACATGAGAGGTGGTGGCAGCTTGGGGAGGCCTTCATCCAACAGTGGATTGACCATGGCTGATGATGATGAAGATGACGCTCATCCATTAAAGCTCATTTTAGATCGTCAGCATCTGTGATTCAATCGGACATTATGGCAGCAGTGCAGGCCTAAGCGATGTTGGAAGTCGCCGGGGTTGGGTCGGGAAGGTCCCCTTGATTTGACCATCACCCGACGCTCTTGAGAAATAAACCCCCTTGTTGAATTGAGGCGACAGAACTGGGAGGAATTAACTGGGATTTCGTTGGCATTGATGAGGTGAGAAGGAAAGGGGCGGGGGGAGGGAGCTGCCGTGAAACTTGGCAGCATTGTCTGCCAAAGAGGGAGAGTTGACTATTACGGAGGCATGGAATTCTTAGTTCTGTCCAGGAATAATTTAGCATGTAAATGCATTTTTTTACATTGCTGCATTGTTGCTTTGCATTTTGTTATATAATTTTCTCGAGAATGCTCATGTCTCCGCTTGTTGGCCTCACTGTGTTTAACCTATGACCCAATACATTTAAATTATATACCTGTATTTGTTATTTGGCACTATGCACGCGTATTCAATTGTAGTCTATATTTTCCTAAAGTTATTTCATTTGTGCTCTCAGCATCGTGTCATGACACGGGGAAATTTGCATTCAGAGCTCACTCAGAAAGCCGTGCAACATTGGGCCCATGTTATAGAGCGGCCTGTGGAAGATGATAACACAGAACTACTTCTGAGGCCTCTTTAAGTGCACCACCTCAATTGATGGTGCACTGTGTTCACTCGTTCCGTTAAACGGGGTTTTCCCCATGTTGTGATAAATAATTTACATATTTAGGCCTCGGATGTGTAGTGTGCAATATTAAGTGCAAAAAAATAAATGAATGATTATTATTTTTTGCTGTGGTCATCGGTGACGAGGTTTCGGACCGTCATCTCGCTCGACCTGAGAACCCAGTTTCACCTTGAGTGGCCTGCATTTGAATTCAAGATTTCACACCGTGTCAGACCTCAGTGCAAGCCACCTATATTTCACGTCATTTTCAATGCCGCTGTGTTTTTATTGTTGTTTGCAGTTATATTCATATTTTTCCTTTCTGCTGAACAGCAAAACGCGTCTTTACCGTAATCCCTATACGGCCAACTTTCCCAGAACGCGCCCCATCTTGTCAGATCTCGGAAGCCAAGCAGGTTGGAGCCTGGGCCTGGCGGAGTGCTTGGATGGGTGACCATCGTGCACAACAGGTGTTATAGGCTGCTACGTCGTGCTCAGCAGAGGTCATGGGTGGAGTTTTCGGGGGGGGGGCACGGGGGGGGGGGCAACGCCCCGCCCAAACTGGACACCTTTAATTTATTTTAAGCAATTTAAAATAAAATATTGTGAATTAATCATTTGTATGCATCTCGCCCCCCCCCCCCAAATATAGAAGTCAAATGCTGCCTGTGGCAGAGGTCTAGTGCGGCAATTTCCATGCAATTTTTGTTCATCTCCTGCTGGGTGAGGCCCTCACGCTTCGTGGTGGGGTTTATTTAACCATACTTCACCATGCCGATCAGTCCGGGTTGGTGATGGTGACCGAGCATAGATGTGAGCATAGTACATTACAGCTATGGATTATGTTGTGCTGATGCTGCCCATTGCTGGGCAAAGGGGGGCTCCCCATTCTCTCCCCAGTCCTCTCTTTCCCAAGTGGCTCCTGTCCAGTTGTGGCCCGCTGAACTGGGACGTCGTCTCGCTGCTGCTGTGCCTTCTGCTGTCTCCCTCTCTGCTTCCCTCCTCTCACTTCACTCCGTCGTTAACTTTGTCTCCAGGTGGCGAGATGTCATCTACCTTGCCTAGTATGCAGGAGGTCGCGGGTTCGATCGCGGCCCTTGACCCCTGTTGTATGTTTGGAGTTTGCGTGTCTCTCTCTCTGGTCGCGTGGATTGCTTTCCGGGTGCTCCGGTTTTTCCCTCCACGTTCAGAAACATGCATTTGGAGTATTTAGCTGCTATAAATTTCCACGTGATAAGCCACTTCGTGGAGCTATCATTTGTGGTGGCCAGGTCACTTCTGAAAAATAACTGCATAGCTCAGCGGGCCTTACCTGGTAAAATAAAAATAGTTTCGTTCATAGTGCTGCCACATTTAAAATCCATTTGTATTTATTTAACAGTAGCACTCAGTGACACCCCTATTCGTCATTTTATTTCCACCATTCCAAAAGCCCTATCTCTTTGATGCGTACAATGCACAGTACGGCGTCAGGCGGCGTATGACGGCGGGTGGTGACCTGTGGAATGCTCACGACAGTGTTTCACTCCTCCTTTATCTGCAGTTGGAGCTGATCAAGAACGTGAGCGGCCTGGAGAATCCGTTCCTCTTCACGAGGCACGTCCACTTCCTCGACTTCACCAGGTACTCACCCTCCCACCCCTCCTGGGGCTCCGAATCGCTCCGTTCGTTGCCAGCGTGCGAATTCACTTTCACTAGGAAGTTGCCCAAGCCCAAGCCACAGCAGCGCGTGCATGTGTTTATTGTTCTCGAGGTTTGGCGTAAATGTACGAATGTACGTTGAACTTCTTTCGCACCGTACGTAGCCAACCGTGCGAAATCGGAGGTGGCAGATGGGGGGGGGGGGAAGGACAACAAATTAAACACAAAGGGCTGAAGAAGCCAAACTAAAGGAACGTATTGCAGACCTTCAGAAGAAGTGAGAGAAACTTCCAAAGAAATGTCCTTAAAGTTTGCCTTGTTAATGATTTATGTTGCAGGCTTGTGCGTGGTACGAGGCCGTATCACGCCGCGCGTAACAATGTGGCTTTTATTTTCTAAAATGGGATCTATGGATTTGAACCTAGTCCTGGATTTGAACCAAGAATCTCAAAAGTGCAGGGCTCAGAGCTCTGACATTGGCATAAGCATTTTTGTTCCTTGAGTCACTTACAAATTCCTCCCAATCTGCCATTAGAAACCTTCACAAAAACCGACAGGCAAGCGAAAATAACGTGGACATAAACAAACGCGTTGGACCTGTATAAATAAACAAGCGCTCTTCGCCACACGCAAGCACCCTGATTGGCACCCGGTGGACATTCACTAACCCCCCTCCCCCCCATCCGCTCGGCAGCGTAGAATCAAGAAGCGCACTTTATTTCTTGTTTACAATGTTCGTTCAAGCTGGTCAGGTGTAACTTTGACAAAGCACCCGACCGTGCACATCGGAAGGTCGTGAGTTCAACACCTGGTCGGGGGGCAGGGGGCGGGTTAATGCACACCCACAATCCTGGCAGGTTGCATTAAAAAAAAAAATTCGTATGCCACTTTTTTTTAAAGACATTCATCATTTATTGTTCGGTGGATGGACTTGCCTCTGCCCTAGGAATGTATAAAATTTAAATCACTGGGGTCAGATACAACGGCAAAAGATGAGCACCCACCCAGTGATCGGCATGGGACCATCCAGTGGCCGTACTCGGCAGCTTAGGGGGCCCCAGGCAGCTCATGGGTGGGGTGGGTCCACAAAATATCAGCTCAGATTCTAAACAACAACAATGAGCTCATCGTCACAAATACAATCGTTATTTTCTTATCTATAGCTTGCCTGCAGCCGTCTTGTGTCACATAGCAGTGTCTGTCTGTCACTTGTCACCATCCCGGCTTGTGTCCGCTCCCCATTCCTGCCTCATCTGAAGCCCCCCGTCTCGATGCACCTCCGTCTCACGTTGACATCTCTCTCATTGCACTCCACCTCTCTCATATCTATCGCTCTTCTCCCCATCTCTTGAGGTCTCTGTATCTCTACTGGTGTCTCACTAGAAGTTGTATACAATTTAAAGGGGGTACCCTTGCCTCCCGCCCCCAGTGGGCTAGCACGGGGGGGGGGGGGGGGTGTCGGCAACCAAAACAACAACAAGGGGCGCCATTTGTTTCGAATTCGGTGGGGGGGGGGAAAAAAACTCAACGCTTCAAGAGCCACAATGCACTGTGGTTGATACGAGACGGTGGCCCTTGGTAAATGACTGTCACGAAGCAGCAGTCCTTAATGAGCCACAGCACGCGGCTCGAGAGCTCCAGGTTGCCGATCTCTGCCCACGGTAAACTGGACTCCCATGGTGAAGTGGACTCCCATGGTGAAGTGGACTCCCATGGTGAAGTGGACTCCCATGGTGAACTGGACTCCCATGGTGAAGTGGACTCCCATTGTGAAGTGGACTCCCATGTTGAACTGGACTCCCATGTTGAACTGGACTCCCATGTTGAACTGGACTCCCATGGTGAAGTGGACTCCCATGTTGAAGTGGACTCCCATGGTGAAGTGGACTCCCATGGTGAACTGGACTCCCATGGTGAAGTGGACTCCCATTGTGAACTGGACTCCCATGGTGAACTGGACTCCCATGGTGAACTGGACTCCCATGGTGAACTGGACTCCCATGGTGAACTGGACTCCCATGTTGAAGTGGACTCCCATGGTTAACTGGACTCCCATGGTGAAGTGGACTCCCATGGTGAAGTGGACTCCCATGGTGAACTGGACTCCCATGGTGAACTGGACTCCCATGGTTAACTGGACTCCCATGTTGAAGTGGACTCCCATGGTGAAGTGGACTCCCATGGTGAACTGGACTCCCATGGTGAAGTGGACTCCCATGGTGAACTGGACTCCCATGGTGAACTGGACTTCCATGGTTAACTGGACTCCCATGGTGAACTGGACTCCCATGGTAAACTGGACTCCCATGTTGAAGTGGACTCCCATGGTGAAGTGGACTCCCATGGTGAACTGGACTCCCATGGTGAAGTGGACTCCAATGGTGAACTGGACTCCCATGGTGAACTGGACTCCCATGGTGAACTGGACTCCCATGGTGAACTGGACTCCCATTGTGAACTGGACTCCCATGGTGAAGTGGACTCCCATGGTGAACTGGACTCCCATGGTGAACTGGACTCCCATGTTGAAGTGAACTCCCATGGTGAACTGGACTCCCATGGTGAACTGGACTCCCATGTTAAAGTGAACTCCCATGGTGAACTGGACTCCCACGGTAAACTGGACTCCCATGGTGAACTGGACTCCCATGGTGAAGTGGACTCCCATGGTGAACTGGACTCCCATGGTGAACTGGACTCCCATGGTGAAGTGGACTCCCATGGTGAAGTGGACTCCCATGGTGAAGTGGACTCCCATGTTGAACTGGACTCCCATGGTGAACTGGACTCCCATAGTGAAGTGGACTCCCATGGTGAAGTGGACTCCCATGGTGAAGTGGACTCCCATTGTGAACTGGACTCCCATGGTGAAGTGGACTCCCATGGTGAAGTGGACTCCCATGGTGAAGTGGACTCCCATTGTGAACTGGACTCCCATGGTGAACTGGACTCCCATGGTGAAGTGGACTCCCATGGTGAAGTGGACTCCCATGTTGAACTGGACTCCCATGGTGAACTGGACTCCCATAGTGAAGTGGACTCCCATGGTGAAGTGGACTCCCATGGTGAAGTGGACTCCCATTGTGAACTGGACTCCCATGGTGAAGTGGACTCCCATGGTGAAGTGGACTCCCATGGTGAAGTGGACTCCCATTGTGAACTGGACTCCCATGGTGAACTGGACTCCCATGGTGAAGTGGACTCCCATAGTGAAGTGGACTCCCATGGTGAAGTGGACTCCCATGGTGAAGTGGACTCCCATGGTGAACTGGACTCCCATGGTGAAGTGGACTCCCATTGTGAAGTGGACTCCCATGTTGAACTGGACTCCCATGTTGAACTGGACTCCCATGTTGAACTGGACTCCCATGGTGAAGTGGACTCCCATGTTGAAGTGGACTCCCATGGTGAAGTGGACTCCCATGGTGAACTGGACTCCCATGGTGAAGTGGACTCCCATTGTGAACTGGACTCCCATGGTGAACTGGACTCCCATGGTGAACTGGACTCCCATGGTGAACTGGACTCCCATGGTGAACTGGACTCCCATGTTGAAGTGGACTCCCATGGTTAACTGGACTCCCATGGTGAAGTGGACTCCCATGGTGAAGTGGACTCCCATGGTGAACTGGACTCCCATGGTGAACTGGACTCCCATGGTTAACTGGACTCCCATGTTGAAGTGGACTCCCATGGTGAAGTGGACTCCCATGGTGAACTGGACTCCCATGGTGAAGTGGACTCCCATGGTGAACTGGACTCCCATGGTGAACTGGACTTCCATGGTTAACTGGACTCCCATGGTGAACTGGACTCCCATGGTAAACTGGACTCCCATGTTGAAGTGGACTCCCATGGTGAAGTGGACTCCCATGGTGAACTGGACTCCCATGGTGAAGTGGACTCCCATGGTGAACTGGACTCCCATGGTGAACTGGACTCCCATGGTGAACTGGACTCCCATGGTGAACTGGACTCCCATTGTGAACTGGACTCCCATGGTGAAGTGGACTCCCATGGTGAACTGGACTCCCATGGTGAACTGGACTCCCATGTTGAAGTGAACTCCCATGGTGAACTGGACTCCCATGGTGAACTGGACTCCCATGTTAAAGTGAACTCCCATGGTGAATTGGACTCCCACGGTAAACTGGACTCCCATGGTGAACTGGACTCCCATGGTGAAGTGGACTCCCATGGTGAACTGGACTCCCATGGTGAACTGGACTCCCATGGTGAAGTGGACTCCCGTGGTGAACTGGACTCCCATGGTGAAGTGGACTCCCATGGTGAAGTGGACTCCCATGGTGAACTGGACTCCCATGTTGAACTGGCCTCCCGTGGTGAACTGGACTCCCGTGGTGAACTGGACTTCCATGGTAAACTGGACTTCCATGGTAAACTGGACTCCCATAGTGAACTGGACTCCCATGGTGAACTGGACTCCTATGGTCAGAGGTCGGCTAACAAAATAACAAGAAGCACCATTTTTAAAATTCGATTTTCAAGAGCCTGCACTGCACTCCTCTTAATGAGTCACACACGACTCCTGAGCCACGGGTTGCCAAACCTCTGGGGCTAGCAACGCCTCCTCTGCCTTGCCGCTGAAGCTGCTGACGGCAAACAGAGAAAAATCCACGCCAACGCTTCCCCGCCAGGAGAGCCCCAACGAGACTGCCCTTCTCCACGCACAGTTGTCGGCCGTAGGAGATTTCTGGGGAACCCTGAAAGTGCCGCACTATTTATTCTCATGATTTGTTCGTTTGTTCCACGGTGTGTTTGTTTTATTTGATGCCCAGCTTGGCGAGGCCCTTCAAAGGCTGCCCAGTTTGGGGCCTGCCGAAGCCTTATTCCTGCTTGTACCAAAGCGGTCTCACAGCTTGCCTGTCAGCCGGTCACACGTGCTCGAATTTATTTGCTCGTCCCCTTGGACATGAGGACGACAATCGCCTGTTCTTCTTTCAGGAACTGTTGGTGGGGTT